AACAATTTTCTTTGTATAGAAAATTATCGCTCTATAGAAAATTTTCGATAAACTTTTCTTTCTATAGAAAATTTTCGATAAAGTTTCACTTTGTAGACAATTTTTCGGCAAAATTTTCTTTCTATAGAAAATTTTCAACCAAATTTTCTTTCTATAGAAAATTTTCTATAAAATTTTTATAGAAAACTTTTCGATAAAATTTTCTTTTTATAGAAAACTTTTCGATAAAATTTTATCAAAAATTTTGTTTCTATAGAAAATTTTGATAAAATTTTCTTTCTATAAAAAATTTTGATAAAATTTTCTTTCTATAAAAAATTTTGATAAAATTTTCTTTCTATAAAAAATTTTCGATAAAATTTTTTTCTATATAAAAATTTTCGATAAAATTTTCTTTCTATATAAAAATTTTTCTTTCTATAGAAAATTTTCGATAAAAGTCTAACTCTGTAGACAATTTTTCGGCAAAATTTTCTTTCTATAGAAAATTTTCAACTAAATTTTCTTTCTATAGAAAATTTTCAACCAAATTTTCTTTCTATAGAAAATTTTCAACCAAATTTTCTGTCTATAGAAAATTTTCTATAAAATGTTCCTTTATAAAAAATTTTCGATAAAATTTTCTTTCTATAGAAAATTTTCGATAAAATTTTCTTTCTATAGAAAATTTTCGATAAAATTTTCTTTTTATAGAAAACTTTTCGATAAAATTTTCTTTTTATAGAAAACTTTTCGATAAAATTTTCTTTTTATGGAAAACTTTTCGATAAAATTTTCTTTTTATAGAAAACTTTTCGATAAAATTTTATCAAAAATTTTGTTTCTATAGAAAATTTTGATAAAATTTTCTTTCTATAAAAAATTTTGATAAAATTTTCTTTCTATAAAAAATTTTGATAAAATTTTCTTTCTATAAAAAATTTTCGATAAAATTTTTTTCTATATAAAAATTTTCGATAAAATTTTCTTTCTATATAAAAATTTTTCTTTCTATAGAAAATTTTCGATAAAAGTTTAACTCTGTAGACAATTTTTCGGCAAAATTTTCTTTCTATAGAAAATTTTCAACTAAATTTTCTTTCTATAGAAAATTTTCAACCAAATTTTCTTTCTATAGAAAATTTTCAACCAAATTTTCTGTCTATAGAAAATTTTCTATAAAATGTTCCTTTATAAAAAATTTTCGATAAAATTTTCTTTCTATAGAAAATTTTCGATAAAATTTTCTTTTTATAGAAAACTTTTCGATAAAATTTTCTTTTTATAGAAAACTTTTCGATAAAATTTTCTTTTTATGGAAAAATTTTCGATAAAATTTTCTTTTTATGGAAAACTTTTCGATAAAATTTTCTTTTTATAGAAAACTTTTCGATAAAATTTTCTTTTTATAGAAAACTTTTCGATAAAATTTTCTTTTTATAGAAAACTTTTCGATAAAATTTTCTTTCTATAGAAAATTTTCGAAAACTTTTCGATAAAATTTTCTTTTTATAGAAAACTTTTCGATAAAATTTTCTTTCTATAGAAAACTTTTCGACCAAATTTTATCGAAAATTTTGTTTCTATAGAAAATTTTGATAAAATTTTCTTTCTATAAAAATTTTCGATAAAATTTTTTTCTATATAAAAATTTTCGATAAAATTTTCTTTCTATATAAAAATTTTCGATAAAAGTTTCACTCTGTAAAAAATTTTCGGTAAAATTTTCTTTATAGACATTTTTTTGGCCAAATTTTCTTTCTATAGAAAATTTTCGACCAAATTTTCTTTCTATATAAAACTTTTCGATCAAATTAATTGTCTTTCTATAGAAAATTTTTCGATCAAATTTTCTTTCTATCGAAAACTGTTCGACCAAATTTTCTTTCTATACTCTATTCTAAACTTTTCTACCAAATTCTTTTTGACTTTTCGACTAAATTTTCTTTTTATAGAAAATTTTTCGACCAAATTTTCTTTCTATAGAAAAACTTTCGACCAAATTTTCTTTCTATAGATTTCGATGACAATTTTTCAATAGTTTTCTTCTTGCTGAATTTTGGATAAAATATTCTTTTTACAAAAAAAGTTTAAATAAAATTTTCTTTTATAGAAAACTTCTTTTTACAGAAAATTTTCGATAACATTTCCTTCTTATAGAAAATTTCCTTTTATGGAAAGTATTCGATATAATTTCCTTCTTATAGAAAATTGTCGACAAAATTTCTTTTTTTTTTTTTGGAAAATTTTAGTTAAAATCGTCTTTCTATAGAAAATTTTCGATAAAATCTTTTTATGGAAAAGTTTCAATAAAACAAAAATTAGAAGAATTTTTTTTTTATATAGATCATTTTAGATACGTTTTACTTTATATGTTGCAACCATTTAGTATGGAATTTTTAGTTCCAAAAATTTTATAAAATTTCCTTTTAAATTTAAAATTTGTAACCTTAAGCTAAAAGAAAACATAACAAAAACTCATAACCAATATATTCAAATAAAATTTGCATAATCGTATTTGAAAATTTTATAATATTCATTAAACTTTACTTAAGATTTGTATATTCGCTCCCCCCAACATTCTACCTAACGTCTACTAATTTCCTATATAAAGATTTTATTTAACCTCAACCCAGCGAGAAGTCACAAAAATATGTTTTTCTTTACACTAACAAAACTCTACAGCGGGGGGAAAGGGCAATAATAAATTTATGCAAATTTAATTTTAGTGACACTTCCGTTTACAATGCCTCCAGCGATGTCATAATTTTTGTTTTCTGCCACAAGGATCGAGAAAACACTAAAGCCGATATAATATAGACGGCATAAAGAAAGAAACTGGTGTTAGAATTTAAATTTTTGTTGTAAAAACTGAACTTACAACCCTGTTGATGTTTTGTTTTTTTATTTGGCAAGGACGTCGTCAATGACTTGAGCCTGTCAATTGTGAGTAGTGAGTAGATGAAGGTGATGATGGCAATGGTGGAAGTATGGATGGTTGGTGGTATGGCTCTTGGTGGTAATCATTATATACCACTTTCATATTATTTAAATTACCGTTGTTGTTTTTACTGGTGTTTTTGTTATTGTTTCGTCCGTTATGCACAGAATTAACATTCTATTGTTTTGTATGAACCTTTCACGGTACTTGTAATTTTAAACATCAAGGTTTTACTTCTCAACTTTTTGTTTCGCCTAAAATATGGCTTATGTTTTTCTAATAGTCTGCAGGATGTTTAGGTGGGAGTGGGAGTATTTTGGAGGATAGAAAAATGTGTTGGAAACACACAGTCCTTTAAGTTTGGATATATTAAATATAAGAATGGTCGATACAATTTAAGAGTTAGAAAAGTGTTATGGTATGAGCGAGCGAGCGAGCGAGCGAGCGAGCGAGCGAGCGAGAGCGAGCGAGCGAGCGAGCGAGCGAGCGAGCGAGCGAGCGAGCGAGCGAGCGAGCGAGCGAGCGAGCGAGCGAGCGAGCGAGCGAGCGAGCGAGCGAGAGAGCGAGGAGCGAGCGAGCGAGCGAGCGAGCGAGCGAGCGAGCGAGCGAGCGAGCGAGCGAGCGAGCGAGCGGCGAGCGAGCGAGCGAGCGAGCGAGCGAGCGAGCAGGGAGCGAGAGCGAGCAGAGCGAGGAGCGAGCGAGCGAGCGAGAGCGAGCGAGCGAGCGAGCGAGCGAGCGAGCGAGCGAGCGAGCGAGCGAGCGAGCGAGCGAGCGAGCAGCGAGCGAGCGAGCAGAGAGCGAGCGAGCGAGCGAGGAGCGAGCGAGCGAGCGAGCGAGCGAGCGAGCGAGCGAGGAGGAGCGAGCGAGCGAGCAGCGAGCGAGCGAGCGAGCGAGACGCGATCGAGCGAGCGAGCGAGCGAGCGATCTATCTATCTATCTATCTATCTATCTATCTATCTATCTATCTATCTATCTATCTATCTATCTATCTATCTATCTATCTATCTATCTATCTATCTATCTATCTATCTATCCTATCTATCTATCTATTCTATCTATCTATCTATCTATCTATCTATCTATCTACTATCTATCTATCTATCTATCGATCTATCTAATCTATTATCTATCTATCTATCTATCTATCATCTATCTATCTATCTATCTATCTATCTATCTATCTATCTATCTATCTATCTATCTATCTATCTATCTATCTATCTATCTATCTATCTATCTATCTATCTATCTATCTATCTATCTATCTATCATCTATCTATTGCGTATACTATCTATCTATCTATATCTATCTATCTATCTATCTCTCTATCTATCTATCTATCTATCTATCTACTATCTATCTATTATCTATCTACTATCTATCTATCTATCTATCTATCTAATCTATCTATCTATCTATATCTATCTATCTATATCTATCTATCTATCTATCTATCTATCTATCTATCTATCTATCTATCTATCTATCTATCTATCTACCTATCTATCTATATTAGCTATCTATCTAACTAACTAACTAAATCAATAATGAGTGATTTCAACTATTTTCATAAATTTTTTTATAAAATTTTTACACACAAAATGCAATAAAAAAATGCAATAAAAATAGAAAAATTGGTTGTACATTCTTTAAAATCCCATTTTAAATTAACGAATTTCACTTATTACATTTCAAAACCCTCAAGTCTAATAACGATCTCAAAACGATCTTTAACTGCTCACAAAATTAAGCTTTCTGCTTAAATCTACCAACGTTAAAAAGCTTACTGTGAACATAAACTTTAAAAGCTCACTTACTCACTAACAAATGGTTTGTGTATTAGCTAAAGTTTATCTAAAAAACACCTCACTGTTTCATTAACCACTAAGTTCCTCGTTCGGTACCATCTTCCCTACAATACAACAAAAACTTTCATAAAATTTCACCACCCTACAGCAAACCAACCAATATGGGTCTTATTGATTTTGCGGGAATTGAAACAAAATGCGACCAAAGTTAGCAAAACAAAAAACTTCTCTCACTGGTTGTCAGTCCGTCCATACATCTCACTCACACCGCTATTTGCAGTTTTTAGAACAAACTTTTGAGATTCTAAAGTAGCTGACTGTTAGCAACTTAAAGTTAGTCACACAAAGTATATTGTAACTAATAGATGTGTGGTGCGCGTTGGGTGAAAAATAAAAATTAATAATTCGTTAAATAAACAAAAAAAAAATCAAAATATTTACAAGAAATCAAATAAAAAGTGGTTTAAAAATTGTTAAAAATTACCAAAATTGGAGAAAAATAAAATTTGTGATTTTTTGAAAAACATACATAAAAATAAGATAAAACGTAAAAAACATCGTTATTAAAAAAAGTGTAAAGAATAATCGAGAATTTAAACAAAAATACTTTTTGTGGTCATTTTTTAAGGAATCTTGTTTATTGGTGAAATTTTTTTGTTCGGTTTTTGGTCATTGCCATTGTGTCATTGCAATCCAGATATAGAAATACACACAGAAATTCCAATAACTTGCGTAAGCATTGATGAAACTTAAAAAAAAAAGAATTTTATAAAAAACTTTTTTTGCAGCAAAACTCAAACTTTTTTTCTCCACGAAAAGGGGGAATTAGAAAACATATTCTCTGAAATAAAACAAAGACCTTCACCAAAGTTTATTATTTGTTTTGTTTTTTGTTTAATTGTTTGTTCATAGAGGAATGAATGAACGTTGATTACTGCCGCTAGTTGTAAGAAATAGCTTTACAGATCAGGGAAGGGAAACTGGTTTCTGAGGAGAGGAAATGTTTAAAGTAACACTTTGTTTGGTTCCCTTTAAAAAAAAAGAAAACAATAATAAAAAACAGCTGTTAGAAATAATTTATGACAAAATTTCTCAATATCTTGCTAACTACTGTTATTCGTAAACATTAGTAGTTTTTATTGTTGTTGTTGTTGCTATAAACAAATAAGAAGAAAATTACAAACAATTTGTATTTATTTTTATTTTTGTATTTATCTGTGTTTATTTTTTTATTGCTTTCTTAGATTAAGTTGTATTTTTCAAATAGTTGTTTGGTGTTTTTTTATTATTAGTTTATCAATCGAGCATGATGCCATTCATTCAGTCACAGTCTTACATACAGTCATACTTGAAAGAAAGCAAATAAACACTACAAACAACTACAAAAATATTAAAAAAAGAATTAAGTGTTTTTTTTTAAATCTTAAGCGTCATAATGTCTAAATTCACATGATTCATTCATACAGTAATTTTTTCATACCATTTTAGAGTTGCATCAAACCAATATGGTTTGAATACTAAAAACTAAGAAAATGATGATCCGTTTTAAGGGTAGGAGAAACCTAAGGCACCTAATATTGCATAACAAATCATTCAAAGGAATAAACTTTCGATAAATTTTCGATAAAAGTTTATCCAAAGTTTTCTATAAAAAGGAAAATTTTATCAAAGATTTTCTATAAAAAGAAAATTTATCGGAAATTTTTTATAACAAAAAATTTAGAAAAAATTTATTGAATTTTTATCTTCTTATCGAAAAAAGAAAAGAATTTTCATTAAATATTAATCGAAAATTTTCTATAAAAAGATCGAAAATTTTGTATAAAAAGTAAAATTTTATTGCAAATTTTATAAAGGAAAATGTAAAATTTAATGGAAAATTTTATAAAAGAACTAATAAAATTTTATCGAAAACTAACTATAAAAAGGAAAATTTTATTGAAAATTTTCTATACAAAGAGAATTTATTGATTTTTCTAAAAAAAGTGAATTTTCATTAAAATTTTGTCGAAAATTTTCTATTAAAATAGAATTTTATCGAAAATTTTATATAAAAAGTAAAAATATAAGATATATAAAAAGGAAAATTTTATCGAAAATTTTCTATAAAAAGGAAAAAGTTATCGAAAATTTTCTATAAATAGGAAAATGTTATCGAAAATTTTCTATAAAAATAGAATTTTATCGAAAATTTTCTATAAAAATAGAATTTTATCGAAAATTTTCTATAAAAATAGAATTTTATCGAAAATTTTCTATAAAAATAGAATTTTATCGAAAATTTTCTATAAAAATAGAATTTTATCGAAAATTTTCTATAAAAATAGAATTTTATCGAAAATTTTCTATAAAAATAGAATTTTATCGAAAATTTTCTATAAAAATAGAATTTTATCGAAAATTTTCTATAAAATTAGAATTTTATCTAAAATTTTCTATAAAAAGAAAATAATCGAAAATTTTCTATAGAAAGAAAATTTTGATTGAAAATTTTCTATAAAAAGAGAATTTTTATCGAAAATTTTCTATAAAAGAGAATTTTTATCGAAAATTTTCTATAAAAAGAGAATTTTTATCGAAAATTTTCTATAAAAAGAGAATTTTTATCGAAAATTTTCTATAAAAAGAGAATTTTTATCGAAAATTTTCTATAAAAAGATAATTTTTATCGAAAATATTCTATAAAAAGAGAATTTTTATCGAAAATTTTCTATAAAAAGAGAATTTTTATCGAAAATCTTCTAGAAAAAGAGAATTTTGTATAAAATCTTCTATAAAAAGAGAATTTTGTCGAAAATTTTCTATAAAAAGAGAATTTTTATCGAAAATATTCTATAAAAAGAGAATTTTTATCGAAAATATTTAATAAAAAGAGAATTTTTATCGAAAATTTTCTATGAAAAGAGAATTTTGTCTAAAGTCTTCTATAAAAGAGAATTTTATCGAAAATTGTCTTTTAAAAGAGAATTTTATCGAAAATTTTCTATTAAAAGAGAATTTTTATCGAAAATTTTCTATTAAAAGAGAATTTTTATCGAAAATTTTCTATAAAAAGAGAATTTTTTATCGAAAATTTTCTATAAAAAGAGAATTTTTATCGAAAATTTTCTAGGAAAAGAGAATTTTGTTTAAAATCTTCTATAAAAAGAGAATTTTTATCGAAAATCGTTTAAAAAGGGAATTTTTATCGAATTTTTATTTTTATTTTCTTTTTATAGAAAATTTTCGATAAAATTTTCTTTTTATAGAAAATTTTCGATAAAATTTTCTTTTTATAGAAAATTTTCGATAACATTTTCTTTTTATAGAAAATTTTCGATAACATTTTCTTTTATAGAAAATTTTCGATAACATTTTCTTTTATAGAAAATTTTCGATAACATTATCTTTTATAGAAAATTTTCGATAAAATTTTCTTTTTATAGAAAATTTTCGATAAAATTTTCTTTTTATAGGAAATTTTCGATAAAATTTTCTTTTTATAGGAAATTTTCGATAAAATTTTCTTTTTATAGGAAATTTTCGATAAAATTTTCTTTTTATAGGAAATTTTCGATAAAATTTTCTTTTTAAAAAACATTTTTTAATAAAATGTTCTTTTTATATAAATTCATTCGATTACTTTTCCTTTTTTAGAAAAATTTTGTAGACATTTTTTGAGATTCATAGAAAAATTTTGTAAAATTCCGGATTTTTCAAATATCTTGCAAATCCAAATCCTGGCTTTAGGCAAAACTCTAACAGATTGGCAATCCTATTTAATATGTACATAATAAACAACTTACATGTTTACTGCATAAATTTATCAGATATTTGCGATCTTTGTTTAACAGCAAAGTTGCACACCGCTGCTTAAGCGGCTTTTTTTGTGTAAAATCAAGTAACGCAACAAAAATTTTTGTAAACATTACATATTTTTATCAATTCTGACATTTTTGTTTATTACCCGTAAAGTAAGTTAAACAAAAAACAATTTTATTACTTAAATCGACTAATAATAGCTTTTTGTCGTTTTTGTGTAATTGCTTGAGATAAATCATGTTAATAAAACATTTCAAAGAAAAAATTGCATAAATTAATAAATCGATTAAAAAAATTTTGTATTAATAACTATTGTTGTTTTTGTTTTGTAGTGGGCGCTTGTTTGTAGTTTTGTTAGAATTTTCCGCATTTGTATTTTGTTTTTTTTTTTAAGCAAACACCCATATAAAATTAATAATTATATAAATAATATAGTAATTTAACATTTTTTTTCATTCAGAATTTAGTTTTTTACTTTGTATTAAACTGAACTGAGAATGACTGATTATATGAATCGATAAAAAGTTGTTTACGTGCGCTTGTTGGAATAAAAAAGTATAAAATTGTATTCGGTTTTAGTCATTTAATTTATGAACTTGTTTTTTTCTTTTACCAAAATGGTCAATCAAGCAGTGATGTGATGTGATGTTTAAAACGTGTGATGTAGATCTGTTGCTTTGGGATTTTGACATTTAAAATGTTTTAAAATTATATGTCATTTATTGTATAAAAATATTTAATTAATACTTGTATTTATTTTTAAAACAACTTGTAGTATTTAATGAATATGACTGGTTTTGTTGCCAGAAAAAATTGTGGTGAAATAAAACTTGACCAACCTCAAATATTGGTTTACTTTTTTTTTTGCATTTTTATTATAAATTATTTTGTCAAAATATTGTATAACTAGAAGTACTTAAAGGCTTATAAATTAATGCATTTATTTTTTTAATTTGTTTATTGTTTTCGAAATTTTGCCGGCTTGTTTTTGCTTAATTTGGGGAACAGGAAATATTTTCAGGTTTTTTAAGTATTATTTTCAATAATTTTTATTTATACTAAGAACCAGCTAGAATATATGACTCAAAAATCTGTGTTCTTTCTGGTTTCTCATAAAAAAATCAATTTTGAAATCAAAAACTCATGATGTTTTGAATTACTAATAGTTATGTGAATAAGCTTCAAATAGAGAAAATGATCTGGATTCGCGATCACTCAACACTATGTGATAATTTTAATTGAGAAGAGTAGCATTTCTGAAAAATCTTAAATTGAGGTCCTTAAATTGATATGTGTCCACTTCTTTTTCTGAAAATCTTACAAAACTACCTTCCCTGACTTTTGTTGATATGTAAAAGGTGCTTGATCTGAACATGACACAATTTGTGATCACTTATACACAGAGGGAAAAAGAACTATACACGACAGGTACCAAATTGACACCAAAGAGTTTATAATTTTTCAATAACATCCGTTGTCAAAGTATATACATACGTACGACAACACTATGTAATGTTGACAACGCAACGTTGCAAAATTCGTTGTCGAAATCTAAATTTTATACACATTGACAAAAAACCGTTGCCTATAGTGAGCTTACCACGTTTGTTAACATTTAGACAACGGAAGTGTATACAATTTAGATTTCGACAACGAACTGTTGCAATGTTGTCAACATTACATAGAGTTGTCGTATGTATGTATATACTTTAACAACGGATGGTATTGAAAAATTATAAACTCTTTGGTGTCAATTTGGTACCAGGCGTGCATATTTTTTCCCCTCTGTGTAGTTCCGAAAAGTTATTAAGTTTTCTTTATAGTAAAAAGGCATTAATTTACGATCACACATATTCTAATCTATAACCACTTTTATTTCGAACAATTACAAAACAACAAAATTCATATTAATATCACACGATCAGTTGTTG